TAATATACTAAGGTAAAAACATTTTTTAAATATATTTTCCATTTTGTCACGGCTAGTATGTAGTATAGATGAACAGGATCTACATGCACCAAAGGTGATTTATTTAAAAGAAATGGCAAAGCTAAATCCAGAAAAACAGCAACAAAGCTAATTTCAGAAAACAAAACAAACTAACAATACGTGTACGAGAACTGACCACTGAACAGAACAAACGCAGCTTAGACAAGATAAATAACTGAATATAAACAGGTGAGAGCTAAATGATCTGTAACCATGGAAACAAACTGGTGGCGGGAAAATGAGAACAAAGGAAAACTAAGTCAGGGAAACAATAGCTAAACATATTGAAAAAAAAGAGCATAACTTGTTACACCTTTTCATTTAACTTTAGATATAAAAAACAAAAAAAATTACTAAAATTCTGTGTTTTTAAATTTAAGTTTGTTATTTTAGTACTTCAACTAAAAATAGAAATGTTGTCTTGGCAAATAACTGAAATAAAATAAGTTTGTTTTTTCCTATATTTTATTTGAAATAAGGAAAATGTTTTTATGGTTTTAATCAGTTTTATATGTGGTGAAAGTTTTTCAAATATTAAAATAAGTTATCAAGGCACGCTTTGCCACTTTCTATGAAAATGTATTTTTCTATTTCGGTTTTGATTCGTTTGAATAAAAATAAAAAAAGAAGACATTTTACTTCATGCATGTGTATTTTGTGTATTTAGCATAGAACATGCTGTACTTTACATGAGCTTTTTTTCCCCATATACAGACTTTCAAACTGCAGTATCACTGAAGAAAGTTACAAAATCTTGACTTCAGCTCTGGAACCAAACCCTTCACACCTGATCGAGCTGGATCTCACAGGAAACGATCCTGGACGATCAGGACTACAATGGTTCTTTAGTCTATTTGGGGGTGGAACGAGTAAATTAAAGACTATCAGGTAATAAAAGCATTCAAATATTCCAAAATAAGCCACAAGCATGGAGTCAGGGGCATGCCACATGTTAGGGAGGACAAATGAGCTGGTGTAGACTTTACTGACAGGAAGAGGAATTTAAGAAACTGATTTTCACAAGTCTGACACAAGTTTTATGAGACAAACATAATGTAAAACAAAATAATGACAATTTTTTTACATTGCAGTTATCATAACTATCATAACTATGAATTTAATACTACACTGGACCAATGACGGCGCTACACCGGGGCTAGGGGGGGCTATAGCCCCGTCAGAATTTTAAATAGCCCCGGTTTAGCCCCCGTTGTCTTATGGTCACTTGTATTAAGCTTGTATATATTTTTTTGAACATGTCTATTCTTTGGCCAAATAAAATTTAAAAGTATTCTTTTAAATGTGGTTTGTACCATAGCTGCTTTTATTTAAAAAAAAAACTAAAAAAAATTCTTTATGAAGTAACTTTGATGTCATGAATATCGATTATTTTCTTAGCACCCTCACATACTGTATCGGTCCAGCGCCCCCTTAGCGCCGGTAGAGAAAAAATTCTGGCGCTGTGCCTGCACTGGACCCAAAATCAGGATGGAAGTTGAAAAGAAGTATAAAAGTATAATAAAGTGATCTAATCTATAATTCTCTTCTACCTTCTGTAGCTTTTTGAGAAGTCCTGCTGCAGAGGAAGCGTATAAGTATCTCACTGATGTTCTGGGTACAAATCCATTACTACTGCAAGAACTGGATCTGAGCAGAATTAAACGAGGAGACCAGGATTGGGAGAATATTTCTGCTCTTTTGGTGGACTCTTATTGCATAGTGGAGAAAATAAAGTGAGTGAATATGATTTTAAACATTATAACTTCTATTCCAAGGGGCAGTATATATATAATGTAAGCCAAAAAAAAAAAGGACCTAAGACAGGTCCTTGTGGCACCCCATACTTCATTGATTTTACTGTTTTTCACTGACAAACAATATAGTAACAGTTGGACAGATAATATCGGAACTATCGTAATGCCTATCCATAAATATCAATATAATTTTTTTTATATATCCAGGAGTAGCTTCGTGCGTCTAGGATCTAGTACAAATGTTGTTGGTTTTGATGCAGTGATCAGTTTTGTTAGCTCTTCCTGTCCTATACCAGCAAAGGAAAGCAATTGTTCTTTGGTGACGATATTGCAAACATTCTGTAATGCTGTACCTACAACAGTATCTAAAGTGCTAGAGATAGCTCTTTTATCCATTGTGAGGCACAAGAGTGATCCTATATAAAGATCTGATGATTTGATGTATGCTCAATAAATGAAACACTTTTTCTGTTCAGGCTGAATAGTTATGAGATGACAAGTAAAAGCTGTTCAGTTCTAGCTACTGTTCTCTGCTCCAAAACCACCCTGAAAGAGATGAACCTGAACAACAGCTCTCTGCAGGATTCAGGAGTCAAAGAGATCTGTAAGGGACTGACGAAATCTAAGCTTGAAACCCTGAAGTGAGTAAATTTACATTTTTATCATAGCAGAAACAGTTTTATGACATTAGTATCATATATTTATTGAATGTGCTCACATTTAGAAGGGGGTAAATGTAAGATTACCATTATATATAAAGTGATTTCATTCACTGCAGAAACACATCACATTTTCAAACAAACGTTATGACTTCTCAGTAACCTCACATCAGTGTTATCTCTGAATACAATACTAATAATATACCAGTACTATGGGGCCCAAAGTGTCAATATTTTGTGTGGCAACCATTATTTTCCATGTGAGGGGTGTACTCACTTCTGTGAGATACTGTATCTGCATATCTGATGATGTATTCAGCTATAGTATGAATTAGTCATATTTAGTGACCACAACTCCTATTTGACTGCACCTTTTTTTCTGTAGACTTTCAAACTGCAGTATCACTGAAGAAGGTTATAAAGCTCTGGCTTCAGCTCTGAGATCAAACCCTTCACACCTGATCGAGCTGGATCTCAGAGGAAATGATCCTGGACCATCAGGAGTGAAGCAGCTCAGTGATTTACTACAGAATAGAAAGTGTTCACTGAAGACACTAAGGTGGGTTTTATTAAAATAATGATGATAGTGATGATACAATAGTTTTGAAACTTTAGTTGAAAGAGAATTAAAGCTTCAGAAGGACATTTATAAAAGCTCTGAAATGACTAAAGAGCCTTTCACAAGCTTGGAAAAAAATTACTATTTGGAATGGCTAACTGATTGCCCGTTAGTTTGACTAATGACATTGGGTAATTACTTGTGCTCCCAATCAATCTAAAAAATAACTAATTAATTGCACATTATTCTGTAACTAACCTAACATTCATATAATTTTATATTGTAATACATAATACATTTAATCTGATATTCTTTTGAATGGATTTGTTTTTCTCAATTTCTGGGGATGTCATGCCTTAGACCGGCCCACATTAGTTAACGACTGACTATATTAAAATAAAATAATAACCTGCACACAAATGCTGACCTATGCGTACAGAATTTTTTCCCTGGAGAGAGAAAAAAAGCCTGTGGTCGATATATCGGTATCGGCGAATATGCCGCCGATATGAAATTTCTTTTACAGAACATATAACGCAGATAAAATGCTTGAAATGGTGTAATTACTTAGTTTGTCCAGCAGAGCGCGCTCTATTGTTTGCTACTGGCGACCTGGATGAAACGCTTTAAAGCCATATCTCCATAACGGCGCGGCGAATCTGCACCAAATTCGGGGGATCCCTTCAGCTCGAGGAACCCTCTCGAACGCAAATCACGTGTACATCTAGAGGCCTGCTTTCGAATGAGACCACCGCCGCGTCGACAGCCCCCGGGCTTTGGGAGTTACGGGTGGTTAAATTCGCGGTCTGCGCCGGCCGATCAAGCGATCCCGGGGGGCTACCGACGCGTGGAGGGTGGCGTTCGAGAGGGCTCCTCGAGCTGAAGGGATCCCCCGAATTTGGTGGAGATCCGTCGGCGCGTTCGCGAGATAGTGACACCAGCCAACACTTTCACTTCAGTAAGGAGGTCTCTTGTTCAGGCAGCAGCATTTCTTGTTTTTGGTTTCTCTGATTCATGTTTCAGTCGTTCTCTCCGACACAGAGTGTGACAATTGTAAAGTGTACACTAGTCCAACATTAACTCATGTTTTACTAACATTTGTAGACTGTTTATTAACATGACTTACCACTAACAAAGTATTTATTAAGGGAATTTGTGAACATTAACTGATGTTTTACTAACATTTGTGAGTTAATTTCAAAGCAGTCATTATTGATTTTACTGGACCTTAAATGAGTGAAAGCCATTCACACATCACTTACATTTTCAGAAACTTTATTACATATTACATTATTACTAGGGCTGGGCAAGTAAACTCGTTATTATCGCGTTAACACATTAATTAATTAACACAGACAATTATTTATTGCACATTAACGCAGTATTTATTATTATTATTTTGAAAGTCCGTTGCTCACTGGCTCTGAATACACACAGACAAACCACAAGAGGGGTGGGATGTTGATCAGTACTGGCTTGGGATGGGTGTCATCACTTGTCTCAACCAATTGAGAGCATTTGGGGAGGGCCTAAAAAATTATTTAGGCTAAGCATCAACATTCACAAACTACTATTCACAGTTATTTTTAACTGAAAAGAATGCAACGAGCTCGTAATCGCAACTTGATAAGTGGGAAATAGGAAGTTTCCTGATAGCACATGAAGACAGCAGAGAAGTGCTCTCGCTCAGCACAGTGGAGTGCATCGTTTTGTTAACTTTGCTTTATTATTTTGAGTCGTTTGGGACGTGGTAACACACGGCCCTCTCACAATATATTGCTTTACAGATCTATCACATTTGCTGCTCAGAAATGTACACGCAATCATGCTGCACTTATAAGAAGTTCGCTCACGCTCGAGCCCAACTGAACCGTGCTCTGGCCCACCTCTTCCAACCCAGCCAGGGCCGGCTAAACGAACCGCGTCCGAGCGCAGCACGGAGCGATCACACTAGTCAAACGAACCAAACGAACAAAACGCATAGTGTCAGTACACCCTTATTTTCCCGCATCCCGCAAACACAAGTCTCTACGCACCCACACCCGCCCATCAAGTGTTGTCCCGTGCCGCACTCTGCTGCGTTAGGTCCCGCGATCGTGCAGGTCTCTACTATTAATGCCCTGGCAGTGGCAAATAGCTTTGGTTTTATATTTAATTTGATTACATTAATGTTTAAGTTGAGATTTACAAGAAATATTTTAACTGCTTCCATTTAAAAGAAATACTGCTGTAAAAAAATACCTTGTTTGTTTAAAGTGTTTGCAAACAAAATGTTAT